ATTGTCAAAGGCCTTTGAAATATCTAATATTACATTGTCGAAGCCACCCACATACATATGACGAAATGTTCGTCAACCCAAACTTCAATAAATAATTTGAATAACGGAACTCCATTAAGAAATAAGAAATAATTATAAACATGTTTTATAATAAACACAACATTTTATATATAATTTAACAGAAATTACAAGAAAAAGAAAAAAGTCTTTTTTTGTGTGTGTAATGTTTAAAGTTGTATTTGTTTCGTGTAGACCACTGAAGGTAGCGAAGAAGAGCAAGAAGAAGTGACTAAGCATAAACTACAGGAAAACAGAATACATGGTCATCAGTAAAAGGATGAGCCCGAAATGCGATTTGCAGGTCGGGAACACTAAAATCAAGCGGAAATTTAAATATCTAGGAAGTATTTTGACAGAGGACGGTAAGTGCGACGCTGAGATCCGAAGACATATTGGGATGGCCAAAGACGCATTCCAAAAGCTAGGGAGATTATTACGAGACAGGAGGATTTCTTTGGTAAAAGCAAAGTGTACTGAGTTGCTACGTGATATCTGTCCTCCTTTACGGCAGCGAATGTTGAACGGTCTCCTCAAAGATGAAGAAAAGACCCGAGGCAGCGGAGGTATGGTTCTACAGAAGGATACTATGGATATCATGAACCGAGTGTGCGAGCAACGATGAGATTTTGAAGAGCGTGTAAACAAGGAGGAAGCTTATACTTAACATCAGGAAGAGGCAGCTGAAATTTCTTGGACACGTAATGAGAAAGGAGGGCTTGGAGAATCTGATACTCGCAAGTCGAATAGAGAGAAAGAGAGACAAGGGAAAGCAACGCATGACATACCTAGCAAGTGGATGACAGAACATAGCCTGGGGGGAAGTGGCAAAGGGACAAAACTTATTGAGAGCTATAAGGGATAGGGGGATGTGGAGAGCCATGATCGCCTACGTCCTCAAGGGATGCGGCACATAAAAAGAAAAAAAAACGCTGTTAAGACATGAGTTGACTGCTGCTGACCAGACAGCATGTATTCTGTTTTTATATCTGACTGTCTAAACAGGCTAGAACTTTTGTGCGTTGGCGGTTTGCGCGTATGCTATTTAATGAAGTTTTATTAGAGACTAGCAGTCGAGCCCGGCGTTGCCCGGGGATGTAACAGTAAGAGATAGATCAAGTACCGACCATCATAAAGACTGAAAAATAAAATTGACAAAGATTATTGTTTAATGTTGACGGACATGCATGTCTTAATTAGTTTTTTTTTTTTTTTTTACAAATTGGTCAAACCCAAACTCAAACAAAAGCATTGTTTTCAATCGTTATGAGTCTACCGATTGAATAGAATTTTATTATAAACAATTGTCTTGTAAATGGAATTTTTAAAGCATTCTGAATGTAAAAAAAAAGAAAAAGTGTGGAAGACAATAAGAAACACTACCTGCCAAAAAAAAGTGAAGTTTTGTTGAAATCGGTTGAAAAATGTAGGAAATCCGATCCCATATATAAATGAACACACACACACACACACACACACAAACAAACAACCTGGGTTTTATAATAAGTATAACTCGATATGAGTTGCCCCCCTTTCATTCTCACGATGCCTCTTAATTGTGTTTTCAAATTGATTTCGTGCAAAAACAATTGTGTTTTTCCAATTTTTGGCGCTGTCAGAACCACTGCAAGGTAATTTTACGTACTCCTGTGAAGTTTTGTTGAAATCGGTTGAAAAATATAGGAAATCCGATCCAATATATAAACGTACAGACACACACACACACACACACAACCTGGGTTTTATAATAAGTATGATAATGTCCCTACACATGCATACTAAGGCTACATTATGCTTTAGTTTTAGCCAACTTCTGGCCAGCGTGTATTACCATAGACGATGGACAGTGATAATTATTTGGGTATTTTTCTCCTTAAAAATTAATCTTCTTATGACAGTTATAATTAAAAGAAATACGACTAAACCAGTAAACAAAAAATACGCGAAACCCCTCAACTTTTCTTTCTTCGTACAAATTTCTGTAAGGTAGAATCTTTTCTCTTGAAACGTTCAGTACGTTGCGAAACTAATTTAAATTCTTCTACTGCTACCAATGAATTCTCTGTTCCAAGCTATCTTTCTTTTTGCCGAAAAGATTCTAGGATATGCATGAACTTAGTGTTTACACCCGGGAAAATCTTCCAATAGCAAGTGTATCGTCTCTTGAGTCTCTAGATGATTCTTCCATGTTTTCTCAACTTTCTTCGTTGCACTCTGTGAGCCATTTCTTTTTCCTTCATCGCCTCTTCCCCCGCTTCTTCTCGGGCTGTAACATATTAGACAAAATATCTAGCATCATAGAAATGGTGCTCTCTCTACATTCATCTTGCGAATATTTTTGTGTTTGGTGATTTTAATGCTCATTTCAATTAGTTTAATCATTCTAATGTTTCTGATGTTACCGGTATACAGACATTCATTTTTTCAGTTGTTCAGTCTCTTAGTCAACTAGTGGACTTCCCTACTCGTTTCCTTAATAATTTTGATCATAATTCTTCTTTACTTCATTTGTTCCTTACCTCCTCTCGTAATTCTTGTACATCATCACAACTCTGTCCCCTAGGTAATTTGAATCACGCTGTAGTATGTCGGAGTTAACTCCTCCTTCAGTTCGTAACCCTTTCACCAGGGGTCTCTCTTTCCTGGCTATAAATAGCCAATGACCCTTCGCCTCGATCTCTTTTTTCCTTTCAGGCCTGTGCACCAACACCTCGAGGTAAATTTCTCTTATTCCTAGAGGATTTCAACTATCAACCTCGAATAGTAGTCGCTAACAAGGGATAGCGTGGAAACACGCTAAGCACAATATACACACACGCACGCACGCACATACAGAATATTCACACACGCACGCACATACAGAATATTCACACACACTTCGCCCTTTGTACTGTTTCCATGTATTGTAACTTGTTAATAATATATATTTGTATATACATATATTATCGGTCTTGTTTTGTTTGTTTCTTTTCCTTCTTCTTTGGACTTAATCAAAGTCCAACCTTTTTATGTAGTTGGGCTCGGCGGGCAGGAGTATCTGAACCTTGCGTTTCTTCTACGTCTGACTTCTATCAACAACTTAACAGCCACGCCATGAACCCTCAACAAACCGTAACCGCCGCGGCCCTCTACAAGTATATGTTGATATTTATTTTGAGTCGTCTATTAAACAGGACCCCACACCATTCACAAGACTTCTTTCTGTTTTCAGCGTACTGATTGAGATTCATTTTGTGACTTTATTCGCGACATTCCTGGGATTGATATTTTTAACCTTTCTATTGAGAAATGTGCCACAGAGGTTTCTTCTTGGGTTAAAGCGGCATCGATTTTTTTTTTTTTATACCTTCTCGAAAAATTCTCGAAATCTCAAAAATGTGGCACATGAGGACATCAACAATTCCAGTTGTAGTTGGAGCCCTCGGCTTGATTGGAAAAGGACCCAATAGACTGACTCATTGAACGGATTGGTGGTAACCCAAGCCTTAAAGAAATAAAATAAAAAATTGTACTCACAAGTACAGCCCACACCTTACGAAGGGCTTTATCTATGTAATTTTTTTTTTTTTTTTGTCAGTGGAAAGTGTCATGACGCCATTTCTAACCTTAGGTCCCTGGGCGGGACCCGGAAAGAAATGTGTAAACGCCAGAAATCAAAGAAAATAAAAATAATAATAATAATAATAATCTTATAGAATAGCGCGAATTAAGAAAAGCAAAAGAAAAGAAAAGAGTGTTTAACAATGTTCAACAATATTTCGACAGTATGTCAGTCTTCAAGTTATGTTTCAAAATTGCATACAATATAAACATTTTTATACTTGTATGCAAAACAGTGCTTTTTCTTTTCTTAAATCTTTCTTTAAGAAGTAAAAAATATTGGATGAATTACGTCAACCATTTTGTTTGTTAATAATAATAATAGACCAAATGCATTTTAGCATTTATTTAAACACAATTTGAAACTGAAAAACAAATTTATTCGTCAACATCTGGTAAAACTTTCTCGTAACCTGCTTTACCTATAAGCCAGTAGGTGGTTATTGTTCTACCACATACTTCCCTATCTCCACGTCGTTTGTAGAAGTAGCCACCAAGTTCATTCAGAATATTAATTGTGTATTTGCTAACTTGAACATGCAACGGTTTTGATGTAGCCTCTAAATTAGCAGCAATCTGCATGGTCTCTCCAAAAAGTGTGTATCGAGGCATTTTAAGACCAACTACACCAGCAACTACAGACCCTGAATGGATACCAATACGCAAAAGTAATTTATCATCTGGCAAATGTGGAATTGGTACTGTCATAATAGTGCATACTATATCTATCGATGCTGTAGCAATTTCACCAGCATGTGAATTACCATTACGGTTTGGAACGCCACTGGAAACAACGTATGCATCACCAATAGTTTCCACTTTGTAAACATCGTACTGTGCTAGGATGCCATCAAACTTGCCGTATAGATTGTTCAACAAATCTACCACTTGCATTGGTTTGCTTCTCTTGGCAATGGTTGTAAACCCAACGATATCACTGTAAAAAACTGTAACATTATCAAATATTTCTGGTTGCACTTTTTCGCCATTCTTCAAACTTTCAACTACTTGCCTTGGCAGCATCTGACTAATGATGTTATCAATTTTAGTTTTTTCGATTTCTAAGTCGTTTGTTCTTTCAACAACAATGTGCTCAAGATTACTAGAATAAGATTCCAGCAAGTGTATCAGGTTATCCATCAATTCTCCCTTCGAAGGATGAATATTATTGAGAAGTGAAGTTAATTTCTGAAACGGTAACCGCGCTGTCGGCTCTTCACACCAAATATCATCTAACATTTTCTTAAATTTTTTTTTAACGGTCTTTCCTTCTGGTAATTGCTCGCTTGTTACTTGGGGCCGAACACAAAACAAATCTCCTCCAATAGAACTCCACACTTCACGTTCGCTTGCCAAAGCAGGGTTATCCTTATCGACGATTAAGTCCAGAATGGAGAATACAGACAGGAAATCTCTTTCATGACCAAATGGTATGTTTCGTGTTGCAATCTCTGAAATAATTATTCCAAAAGAATAAACATCACCTTCTTTTGTGCCCGTGCGAATATCGTCCAGGCAGGTGGCTGTTTCAAGTAGTTCAGGTGCTGTCCACAATAATGACTGTTGATTTTCATAATAAATATCCGGGTCATCAGTATCAGTTAATATTGTATATGGTCCATAACGAAGGGTAGGTGCGCCGAAGCCAGACAAACGCACAGTCCAGCGATTATCTAAAAGACAATTTGATGACTTCAACCGACCATGAGAATGAAAATTTGTCTTTGTATGAAGAAAATTCATGCCAGCGCAAATATCTTTCATAAAAGAAAAACGAAAGTCCCAACCAAGTTGAATGGACTCGTTAACTAATATATCTTCAAGACTGCCTTTGTGTGCCGGTTCTACAAGAAGGCAAACATTTGGATAAGTCAGGCATGCGCCTCCATATGTTATAAGATTCTTGTGATGAACTGTCACTAGCTCAACCATATCGAATCGAATTCTGGCGTCATCTACGTCGACAGTTTTAGAATTGAAACTCTTCACGTGCCATTTCTCTCGATTCCAAGAATAAAGCTCAGAAAATGCGCAAGAAACTTTACTTGTAGCTGCAGTATCAACTTTTGCTACATCTGACCACTTAACTAACCAACTCAGATCAGATAAGGCAGCTTTATGTTCCAGATATTTCTTCAGCCAAAATGTACCTATATACGCTAAGTAGATGAAAGCAGCTAAGAGAAGACTCAAAGGAACTATTATTGATGCAATATGAATAGAACACCTTTTATTAACCCAAGCACCAGACGTACATTTGCATACTTCTGGTTCCACACATTTTCCGTTAGAACAGGTAAAGGAACAAATTGGTTTGTTGCACATCTTACCTGCCCAACCTTTTGCACATCTGCACTTGAAAGGTTCTAAGCAGTGTCCAAAAAGACAGACGCACATCACCTTTTCGCAATTAACGCCATAGTAACCTAAAAAGCATTCACAAGTATCCATGGAAATACATTTTCCTCTGTCATAAAGATTAATATTTTCTATTGTTACTCTTTTTCCGCAAGAATTTCTGCATAGAAACTGAGGCACAATTTTCTCAAAGCGTTGGTTTCTAATGGGCGGCCAAGCTTCTGATTTGTCCTCAATCCATTGATTGTTTATTTCACTAATTCCTCCGCTGTAAGAGACGAACTTTCTCAAATTGTACACATTTGAATATGGAAGAGGAATGACCGTGATGGACAAGTTAGTAGAAGAATCAATGTATTTTGGAGCTATTCCATATTTGAACTCTACTTGAACATCATGGCTCATTTTTTTGCAAAATCTTATTAACTGAATTCTATCAGGTTCCGTATTAACAACTCTGATTGTCCCTATAAAATCTGATCTGTCACCCTCGTTGTCTAGTTTTAATATCCCACTAAGCCCTTCAATTGTAATCTCCCGTAGCTCTTGTATAATTAGCGTACCTGTGGCCGTAAGTTGCCGCGAGATTATACGATTTAATGCCTCTGCAAATAACCAAATGGCATCATAACCAATACCCAAGAAAGATCCAACGTCAACGTTAGGGTAAGATGGTTCCAAACCCATAAGCATTGTTCTGTCAGCAGATAAGTAATAATCCAATACACGATACCAGTTATCAGAATGAAAATTGCTAATATTGTAAGCCTCAATGAACATAAGTGAACCTTTGAAAGCTTCTGAGCATGTTAAATGTTCTCCACAGAGATTATTTATGGGAAATGCGTAAGCATATTCACTTAAAAAGAGCCATTGGTATCCGTCGCGGGATGATAAACCGTAGCGAGCAGCAGCAGGTAATATAATAGGCTGATACGTGGCGTTCAACAGAGCAAATATAATTCGGCTTTTCATATTTTTAACCACTTTCATCGTTTCAAATAAAATATCTTCATCCGGATTTTTAGGATCAAAAAGCTCTATAATCACTTCTTTACTAAAAGATATGTTTAGTTTTGAAGCAATATCGGGAAAAATATCCGGAATCACTTCATTCGCCATTTTCAGTACCACTATGTAAGTCCACTTTCTTTCTTTACATGCAGTCAGGAAAGATCTGCCAATCTGTTGCCAGTTCCAGCAAAGTCTGTTAAAATAATGGTACACAGTGAACTCTGACTGCTTCTGTGAAAGCGAAATCATCGGTATTTCATCGTTGTTTACATCTCTTATCATTGCTGCTGATATCTTCGCATTGTTTGGCATTATGACGGCGCGGAGCGCTGTACTTGGATCTTCTTGTCCTTTATCACGAAATGATGAGTACATTTTAATTGTTCGCGTGATATCATTATTTGTTTCAATGGTATCCACGTATATTTTCATCTGAAAATGTTTCAAAACTCCAGGAATTATTCCACTGTTTATATCTCTGGCACCAAATCGAATAAAACTGTTTACATGAGGTTCAATATTCCATCCAGCACCTGAATATTTAAAGTGATCAAAATGAGCAACATGAATATCACCGACAACGTTAAAATCACTTGAGTTAGCTACTGCTGAGGGATTCACTTTGGAATATATACTCAAATACACAGATCCTATAATCTGGCATACTGAACATTTAAGCCTTCCATAACCCTCGCGTATATAGGTAGTATGATCTACAGAAATGCAAACACCTTTAGGAACTGTATCAATTTCTATTGGTAGATTCGCGTGTGGGCCAGAATAAATTCGATTCCCATTAATGTCTTGGGCCTCCAAATATATGGGACCAGGGATCGGAAAGTTACGAGTAATTACAAGTCGATTTTGTTCATACGGTGTTATCAGGATTAATTTTTTGAGAGTTTGCTTTATGACTTCAAACTCCCGAGTAAAAGCTACTGCCGGCGTTTTGCTCAGTAAACTGCTTGTCATTGGTTTAAATTTCACAATGCCATATTCATCGACCTCCTTATAAGTTATGTCTGCATAACACGTCGAGCAGTCGGGTGATCTAAGCCACGGATCTTTTGACATATACATTGTTAAGTTCAACTTTAATTTTGATATAACATCTAATATTCGAATGTCTGTGAAAGTAACTTTGCCTCCAGAAGCTTGTTTGCGTATAACCAAATCGTTCGTACCTTGATGAGTGACTACATTGGCTCCTCCCAATCGAATTTCAGTAGAAATAATGAGCATGTCCTTTCCAAAAGCATGATAAAACTGCTTGTATTCATATGGAACACATAATTCAACGTAGAGAACGGAATCTAAACCTTCGGTAACTAATTTATTTTTAGCGTCATGAATTTCAGCCGAAATATTAAAACCAGTATTTGCATTGATGACTTTTGGAGGTTGACTAATAATTACAAGAGAAGCAGCCGGAACAGTTATATTAAAAGGGTTAGAGTCTGCAGTTAGTTTCATATCTGGTATACTCACTCTGAGAAAGCGACTATTAATGGGCACGGTTCCTGTGGGGTGCTGATGACTTATCCAATCCAAAATAATAATATCATTTATGAATTTCTTAATAAGAACTGTTGAATCTTGTCCTGATCCACAAATAGTTCTGTATTTCTCACGGTTAAGTCTTAAAGGCCAGCTTTCACCAAAAAGAGTTCGCTGACAAAGTTTACCTCCAGTTTGCTTCCATACATCTTTAGTAACGCCTTTCCATTTCAAAACGTCGAAAGTGCTTACAAACACATCTGGGTTTCCTTCTGGTATAATGATATTATTTGACTGATCCCTAATTCGGACAATAATGGGTTTGCTGATTAATTGGTTTAGTGGAACGCTGTATACCAAATCTTTTGGATTTTTAGGAATTACGGACGGGGGTGAAAATTGAGCGTCAAATTCAATTCGATAACTTATGCTTTGTGCTTGATGACAATTCGTCAGGAGGTATAGTAATAGTACAAGAATATGACTAAATGATAGGGAAATATTATTCTGAAGCATGCTTATTTTGGGGGGTGGTAAAAATGATGACTACTAGTGTAGATTGTTTTATCTTTTGTCTCTTTAACTATTATATTAATAATTATTCTCAATGAGTTATTGCATTCACTCCAAATGGATTATGACATCATATATGACGCAAAAATATTCATTAAAATTATTTCTGTGATAAGTAAGGAAGCGTTTTTAAATTGATCTTAATAGGCTAAAAATAGCATTCACTATTTTAAGTCCAATATCAGGCCTGTCTCCACGGGTAATACTTCACCCTCGGGGTCGTAGAGTCTTTATCTCGCGCCTAAAGCGTCCCCAAAAGAGGAAATGCAGACTATTTTAGGACACTGGTCTCAAGTGGAATCCCCATTTTAATTTCGACCTTGTGTTATGTTCCGTTCGAGTAGGCATGCGGATAAATATCTTATCTTTGTGTAAAGGGAAATGCTAATAAAAACTAAATATTGTTATATTGATCTGAATAATATATTAAATCAGGGACAACGCATGCAGATGAGATGGGCACACACGCATACATACGCAAAAAGTCACCAAAGTTAAGCAACGCCGATCTTGGTCGATACCTAAATGAGTGACCGCTTGGGAATATCAGGTGCTATAAGCTTGGATGTGTGGGTGGTATAATGGCTCAGAATTGCTAATCGGAGAGCCGAGTTCCAATTCAAGTCGGAATTACGCGCAAATACCCTTCGGAAATGTATGAATCCATTTCTTGTTCCTCCCAACTATGGGTTAATTAGTTAGACATTTAACCATTATTATTAAAAAAATTGTTATAGTCTAAAAAATATTTTCTGGTTTTAAATAACCTGAAAAGGGTTGATAAGCGAATGAATAATTTAATAAATTTACTGTTCCTCTTCTTTTACTTTTATCCGCTCAATCGAACGTGGTCTTATTCAGTGTTTTCACTGCTTCTCTTGCCTTCAATAGGTCCTGTGAGTGTTAAATTCTTCAGGCCTCATCACGTTGAATCACCGGTTCCCGTACGATCACCGAAGTTAAGCAACGCCGAGCTTGGTCAATACCTAAATGAGTGACCGCTTGGGAATATCAGGTGCTATAATCTTGGATGTGCTGTGGTGCAATGGATAACGGTTCAGGATTGGAGAGCCGAGTTCCAATTCCACTCGGGTTCGTTATATTAACTTACACGCAAATACCTTTAGGGAAGGTGTGATTTCACCTCTTATCCCATTAGCTATGAATTAATTAGTAGTGTAATGGTGATGATTAGTAGTCGGGTTGATCAAATATATAAATGCGGCTGCGTGTTTCAAGATAATCAACATCCATACATTAAATTTAAACATCAAGAAAAAAAGAGAACAATGAGAACCAATTTTGTTTAAAGAAGAAATATGTATATTAAACTCAACAAATAATATAAGTAGTTGTATATGCGTGAAAGAAAGGAGAAAAAGGTAGCTTCCTCTTGACTGCAGGAAATGTCTTAAAAAAGATTTGTCTGAGTTCAGAGTTCAGTGTTGAAATGGAATATTTCTTTCTGAAAATTGTTCAATAGTTGTAACTTAAAAAGTTGATTTAATTGGTGTGTCCACTGAGAACTGGTGGTGTGTCACATAAAGTTCTGTAGTGTGTATGCACGTGCGGAGTGAGTAGGATGAAATACACGAGCGAGTAAATAAGAACTATCATTGTCTCTGGGTACCTCGACTGTGGTTCTGAAATTACTACTAGTTTTATTTGGAAAGCATCCAATATTTATACTACCAGGGGAGGCTCCCAGTAGAGGCGCTATGGTACATTTTTGAATTTACTTGAAAAATATCTGATTGGACGGAAAATGGACCAATCAGTGATTTTGTAGCAAAGCATGTTTTGAAAAGAGTGTAGGAATAAATTTACTATGGTGAAATACGATAGATAAATTGTCCTGTTGTTTTTAAGTATATATTTATTGACCAATTGGAGAAAATATAGGCGTGGCACTACAGTAGAACCTGTATCAGCAAATCATTATTATCTTCAAAATCATTTTTACAATCTAAAAATATTTTCTAACTTTAAATGATGTGCAAAAGGGTTTCTAAAAAGTAAAAAACAAATCATTCACACACGTATTCAGAGAAAAGGCGCCCATTGCAAGATATGCAAATAAAGTTAGTCCGTTGTTGTTAACCCCGTTGTATTATATTTCTTTTAAGAGATATAAATTTGACGTCGAGAAATCAGGGACCAAGGAGAAGAAAGAATCGTAGAGCTAAAAACAAAAAAAAATCACATCATTTATATTTGTATGTTATCTTGTTAATTCAAATCGTGTTACTGTTAAATCAGTACCGATTTAATAGAATAGTAGTCCTGGTAAAGCTATACTGGTACATTGAAAGTGGTTAGTGACTTAAAATATTGAAACTTCATAATTCTGGTGTAAAGATTTTACTTCTTCGCTTCAGAATTATCAAGATCTTTACTATAAAGATCTTAGGAGAAAAATATGGTTATTCGAATTGGAGTCTGATGGAAAAGTTCGGTTTACAAATATTAATTTAAACCCATAAAGAGGGCACCGGAAGAGATGAACTCAAATTAAACTAAGTAAGATTTAAGAATCAGTATACCTCACACTGCTGACCCAACTCCATAACAAGGAAGTTGGCATGACATGACTAATGAGTTGGCCAAAAAGTCCACAGGATCTTCAGTTGCTGCGGGGTTTGTTTATTTAGAGACATATTTGTCGTATTTGCCTTGATTTCAATGGAATTTTTTAAACTTAAAAATCCAAGTAAAACTTGAAAAACACAGAAATTACCGGAACTTGAAGAAAAAACAAACTTTGTTACACGTGCACGCTAAAATATACCAACCATACTGAAAATGCAACATTTCAGTAACTCAACATTTTACTTGTGAACAAAGAGATTAACAAGCTAAAATGTACGCAAAGCTTTCTACATGAAACAAGTCGCTCTGACACATTTCGGCAAAGTTTAACATTCGTGCTTGCAAAAATAACACGGTGTATCAAAAGGACGGGTTTTCCCTTGACACCGCTATTACCTTCACTCTCTCTGCAATGGTTAGAATTTTCATAAAATTCAAACATATGAAAGTGAATTTATACGTTTTTATTCTTTGAGAATTTACAACAAAATTATTAAACACTATTTATTTATTAGATTGCTTATTTAAAAGAATTTTATATTTGCATCATTCTAAAAATGTGAACCAACTAATATAATGCAATGTTTATCATATACCAATTTATAAAGAAATAAATATGAAAACAATTTTTTAATAAATTTATGCAAAATTTACTAAATCTTAAAAATATGTGAACTATAGGGAAATCCTTATTATTTACCATTTTATAAAGTTTGAATCGACTGGCAATTCATCGATATTTTGCCAACCATTACAAATAACACAATTTATCAGCTTTAATCAAGGTGCACAATGTTTTGTCTTCATTTAAGATTTTTTTTTCATCAGCGAGCACTTGGCTGACAATAAATAATCTATTGACAGATTTTCTTGGCATTTTTGAAAAAATTTGCAGCGATTTAAAAAAAACTTCAAAATTATGTTTTTCAAAAAATAGTAAGAAGGAGATAACCTATATAATTGCAGAAGTTTTAAGCCTTGGATTTTTATCGATTAGGCATCCTTGATCATGATATTATTTTTTAAAATTGGAAAATTAAAACAAAAAATAAAAAAATAATTTGAGAAGAAAATGTATAACGTTCGAAAAAATCATTTGTTTATTTAAATGTTCTTGTTCTATAGTTTATAAAATTATGAGTAAAAAACTTGTTTTCATATTTATTTATTTATAAAATGATAAATATTGCATTGTAGTTGGTTCCTATATTTTGAAAACTTTGTAGATTTTATAAATTTTTAAATAAAAATGCTATTCTTAACATCTTTCTGCTTGATCCACCTGTGCAGACTAATTGTCGCGAATTCCGAAAAAAAAACAAACTAGAATCGTTGATAGTGGAACCTGAAGTGAACGATAAGCTTTAAATGAATCGATAGACCAGAAGAAAGGCATGAACTGATATATATGTTACAGTGTTGTAGAGTAGCTAGCACTCCTTCAGCACTCTACCAGATGGCCTGGCTCATAGCCTTAAATTGTCTACGATTGAGGATTTCAACAGTTGATTAATAAGTTGATACTAAGCTGATTCGGACTGATCTTACTTCATTTGGCTGTACAACATTTGACCCAGCCCCATTCCTTGTAAATTGTCTTGTTAATTGTTTTGTAACTTATTGTTCTGTGTTTTTTGTATGTGTCCGTTAGCACCGAATATTGGTGCTGAATAAATATATTAAGCACTCATTCTTCTCTGTGTATCATTCACCTCGACGATACAACATACAGAAAGAGGAAGATCCCCGATTAAGATTGTATGCACCTAAGGGATTGCAGATCTTATTGTTAAAACAATGTCAGGAAAAGTTGGGACATGAGAATTGACAAAATCTTCGAGCTGATTAGTCGATATTATTATTGGCCTGCTCCACATAGAAACATAACAGCTTGTGTAGGCAGCTGTATAACCTGTCATACGAGAAGTGGAAAGAATAATACTGCTCTATTGATAGAGACTGATATTCCTTCCTACTTCTTTGAGAAGATTAGTTTGGATCTTATCCGGAAATATTCAGAGGGAATTTATATATTGTCAGTTTTGGTTAACAAATTGGGTTGAAGCGTGTGTGCAGTAAAGAACAAAACTACACAAACGGTTACAAATTTGCTAATATATTTCTGAGATCTGACGCGCCCTTGGAATTGGTTACTGATAATGAATCAGATAATCTAAACCAGATATTGAGAGAGAGTCATGGAGAACCTAAACGTATCACATGCAACTACTCCCCCTTATGGGGTAGCTAATGGTGGTGGTTAGAAAAGATCAGAAGGGTTTTTGATCAAGGTTGCGTTTTTACATTAACATTCCACATTAAATTTGTAAAGAAAACACAAAAAGCAATGCCGAGAGATCAATGGAAATCAACAAGCAAAACATGTATTGAAACAAGTATATACATATAATTCCGTTAATGACAATAAAGATTAAGTCACACGAAGTGGTTTACCCTTGTATTGTGTGAAGAACAAATGTATGTTGTAATAATGTCTTTTGTTTAAATTTGTTGGTAGTTTAAGAATGTTTGATGTTTGAGTTTGAAAGTTGAAATATTTATGCAGAATAATGATATAGTTCGAATAGTTCACTTGGCTTGAAAACAGACAGTTCACTGTGTTGTGTGAGTGTAGTTTATGTCTATGTGTGTTTGTGAGTAGAAAATTGAAAATACACGTACGTGGTTTAGATTGTGAAAATTTATAATCTACTGAAGTTATTTCTTTAATTTCTGCTTTTTATAGATGTAAGGTGGCTCCAGTGACGAGCGCGGGAAGGATATTGAAGAAAGTGTCAATTAATGTGATTGTCCAAAAATCGATCAACTGTTGATTTTTTTTCTATAGCTAGTTTGGTGAAGCAAAAACACGATAAATTTTTATGTGGCTCGTGCGATGCGTAAATTGTCGTTACAAAAGGTATTGTTTATTTTCCGTTCAATTACTGTTGAGTAATTTGTGGGCGTGGTGTACGCAGGCGTTCACTACACCCTTATCACCTCGAGAGTAATGCAAAAGTGGAAAGTTTTCATCGATTTTGGTTGATATATTAGCAAAACTATCTGAAGGAGAAAACGAGAATTAGGGTTTATTTTTGAATCAGGCCCTGACAGCTGTGAGGTTTTCAGTTATTTTTAATTTATCTTTAATTCTTGCGAGAAGTGGATAACATCTTGAAACCCAGAAGGAAATATTCCAGTGAAGAGAGTCACAAGATCTTCATAGTGCTCCCGAACTGGTTACTGTTCTCTCTAATAAATACCTCGCTGCCGCCTGCTTTTCTGCCTGACGGAAATCATCGTCTGTTGTTTCAGTTTTTAAAAATTCTTGTGAACCGTCCGACCCATCCAACTATCGGCCTATTAGCCTTCGACCTCTTTTTGGGAAGTTCCTAGAGGACCTAATCTCATCACAGGGCCTTTTCTCAAACAAG